TGCCTGTCATCTGCCCTGCTGCTGGGAGCAACACAGCACGAACTTAGGAGATCGCTCCAGGCCCCAGCCTCTGGAGATACAGTTCCCATCTGAGGGATGGGTTGTTTCCCATGTTCTTTTTGGTGAAATCCCCTGGGGCTTTGAAATTATAGAGCAAAGCGATTAGCTTAGCACAATTTGTTACAGATGATAGAGCCAGCTGCAAAAACAATGAAGAACTGTAGAGAGGATCAGGAGAAATATCTCTGCCAGCTGAGAGGCCAGAGTCCAAAACAGATGTAGTGAAGGACAGAATGAGCCAAAAAATCATCAGCAATGTCCCCGGGAAAAACAAGTAAAAACAGTATGTCATGAATGCTGTTTCCCTTTTGGAGTCATAGTTTCTGTTTCCCTGCAACCCAGCAGGCTAGATGTTTCAGAAAAAGTGTAGCTGAGTTTGCCCTGATTCCAGAAGCAAAGAATTTAAGAAAATTAGTAAATACTTTGTCCACAAAAGTGTTGCAAATACTGCCATCCTCACTTAAAAACCATTTCTCCAGTAAACTTTGACTACAGTAATCAAATGCATACCTCATTTAAAATTATTTGAACCTTTCTAAACTGTAAGAAAAGCATGAAGCTTACAGAGGAATGGAGCACAGTGGGGTCTCCCTGGTCTTCTGTTGACACATTGTGTGTCAGCAAGCAAAATCCCTGCCTTTTTCTGCCTTGCTGTCAGTCTCTGGTGTAATTTCTATGCATTTAGGAAGGTGGAGACACAGAGATCCGTGGCATGCCATGGGATCTATGGAAGGAAGGAGAGACATGATTACGGGTTTATTTAGAGACATGCATGGGTACCAATTTCCTGTGTGGAAAGAAAAAGACTAACACAAAAAAGTGAGCTTCATATTTTGCACAAAGTTGGCCTGGGAGCAGAGTAGCAGCCTCTCCCAGGCCTGCAACGCAGAAAGCCTTCTGCACTGGCTGGTACTAATGGGAGGAGGGCTACAGGAGCACCCTACAGTACCTCCTTGCAAAGGCAGCCCCTGTTCAGGGAGCTGGCAGTCGTTCCCTAGTGAAACAAATTCTGCATGTGGCTTCAGTTTCCTTGTTTTGTTCCCCAGGGCTATATTTCTGCATTGGCAAATGCCCAGAGCTCTCTAGGCATCTTATTTGTTTCTGGACAAAAAGCCAGGGAACTAAGGTTGGTTCCTAAATATGCTTCCGACCTCAAAGCTGGTTAATGGTTCTGATATCAGGGCTGGGGCTGCAGCACAGCCCAGATGCAGATGTAGCTGACTGCAGCGGCTCAGGATCAAGTCTGACTGGCTGGTTTTTGTGTCCTGGGCACTGATTTGGGGGCATAGTCCTTTCCTCATTGGCTTTAGGAGACAAGCCTTCCCCCATCCCAGATGAGTTAAAAGGGAAAGCGAAGAGGTTATTTTTTATTTCCTGGAGTAGACTGCACACACTGACCATGGCATCTGAAAAGGTGAGAGCTTGACAGGGTGGAAGTGTCTGGGAAAGCTGCCTTGGTGCTAGAGTTCAGGTAGAGATGAATTGTCTGCCCTCTTGGTCTTCATCTCAAACAGCAGAAGCTCTTGTTTGGAAAGAGGCCTGGCAGGGTGGAAAAGCTGTTTAATGCCACCCAAATATCCAGTGCAGGTGCTTAGCACAATCAGTGGGGAATGTGTTTCAAAAAATCTAAGATGGGATAGAAGTTAGCAACATCCGATAGGGACAAAGAGGGAAGCTTTGTAGGGGATAATTTTAAGGTCACTTGTGCATTGCTGGAACATCAGGTGCAACTATTCAGAGGGCCAGCAGGAAAGCATGATACTACCTGTACACCCGAAATAGGAACAGTCACTTTCAGGAAGGAGCCCCCTGTCCCCCAAACGTTGCTCTTCCCTGTCTTACAATTCCTGAAATGCCTTCTGTCCATGCATTGTTCTCCTTACAGCACTCTGGTGTTCCCACCATATAACCACTTTATCTCTCTCTCTGTTCTCAGCCGATACTTTATGGCTATTTCCGAAGTTCCTGCTCTTGGAGAGTAAGAATTGGTAAGATCCACTGTTGATCTCTGTTTTATTGTCTGGGTGTTACTGCAGTATCCTTCTCTTCACTAACCTGATTAATCAGTCACTTATTAAGAGAGAGATCAGCAAACATGAACCTGGAACAGTGAGGCATTTCCCCAGTGGGAGGGAATACCACAGCTTACCTGGAGCAGGGGGAAGGGAGAGGAACAAACAGGAGGGCTTCACTCAGCCTGCAGCTAATTAGAGGGAATTACTCCTTTTGTAAAACTAACATGATGCAGATGGCTGTTTCTTCCACATTATCCAGAGGGGCCCTACACTCTGTTTTTACATGGATATTGCCTCTGACTCTGGTCTGCCCACATCTTGAGAGCTAAGCAGGGCTGGGAATAGTCCCTACTTGTACTGAGACACTCTTAAGCAAAGTTTTGTACATGAGCACAGGCCCCCCTGCCCTCTATAAGCCAAATCAGGAGAGACTGTGCTGCAGGGAGTGGCAAAGCTTATTTTGAAAAATGCAGTGGTTTTGCCAGGGCTTTGGTCAGTCATTTGCCAAAGCGCTATCTTCTTGATGGACTCGGGCCACCTTTTTTGAGGGATGGGGTCTTTTTTGCTTTTAAAGCCATTCGTTGTTTCAAATGGAGATGGTAACTGCCTGAGCCCATTACCAATGGAACTGGTCTGTGTCCCTGATTTCCCTGGGCCCATTACCAATTCAACTGGTCTCAGTGTGCCTGTCTGAAGCTGTACTCTCTGCTTTCCCTAGCGCTGGCTCTGAAAGGGATTTCCTATGACCTGGTGCCAGTGAACCTCCTGAAGGATGGGGGGCAGCAGGTAAGGATATAGATACCATTGCTCTCTCCAGGTGTATTGAACTTGGGCATCATTAGGAGAATTTGGATTAGCACTAGAAAGTTCACAGGCAAAGTCACTGAATTCCTCACCGCTTCTCTGTAATTAATAGTTACTTTCAAGCTACTTGCAATTAATAGTTACTTGCATTCCCTGGCATGCAAGACAGAGGGAGAACACGACTGCAGGAGACTAACGTTTTTTTCCTCTCTTAAACATCTGTGACTGAATTTTGTAAGGCTGAAGACCTTTTTGCTCCTGCTTAGCATGATATCACTGAACATATCTGGCGCACAGACTTCAGAGAAGCTGCACTGCAATTTAAACACAGACTCGACCTCATTCAGTTAGCACCAGAAAGTGTGTGTGGGGCAGGGAGTCTGTGTCCAAAAGATGCTAAGTGAAATAGCAAGGGGCTGCAAAGGACCTGCCAAAGGAGGAGGTGGGTTTCTAGAAGACATCTTCACTGAGAACTTACGGGGGGGGGGCATAGCAGGGAGTTCTGCACCTAGTAGTACCACTGGCTCAATGTGCCAGTATGGGCTAAGACAGAGTTGGAGAACTAGAACGGTAATAGTGACACTGCTGCAGCACCAACCCATCCTGGGCTTTGTGTTGATGGTTTATCAAGAAGTAAGGCAGTGATCCCTGAGCCCCAGTGAGAGCCTGCTGTAGGCTAATAGTACAGCATAGCAGACTGCAAATACTAGTACTGAGGTAGAGGGAAAAGCCAGGTAAAAAAAAATAAAATAATTTGGTAACTGGGTAATAGGGGAGGAAAACAAGGAAGAATTTCTTGTTGCAGTAGAGTAATTTCAGGTTTGTTTTCACAGTTTTCTGCTGAATTCAAGGCAGTGAATCCCATGCAGCAAGTCCCAGCCTTGAAAATTGATGGCATCACTCTTTCTCAATCGGTGAGTTACCAGCCACATCCCTGTTAACCGTTCACTCCAGCCTGCTGCCCAGTCTGGCAGGAATGGCTTTGTCTCATCTTTTCCCCCAGAGCTCTCATCTGTGCGTTTGAAAAGAGATGGCATTTGTGATAAACAAGCCCGCTTGGGGGCAGAAATAGCACATAGCCTTTGCTGAGAAACTGCTGTCAAGGATTTAAGCTCAATTCAGCATTGGTTTGTAACTCCACCTTTCACTGAGCAGTTTGTAGTCTGACTTAGATGGCTGTGCCAGGTTTTGCCTGAAATCACAGCTGGGCTAAATGACAAGGTCCCAAGCAGACATCAAAGGGGATATTCTGTTGCACGGATTGGTAACAAACTTCATTCAAAAGCTGTTGTATTCCCTTGGATCAGCTCCCCTCTCCCAGGTGTTCAGAACATGAACCTTTCCTTGGCTCTCCAATCATCTCCCCTTATCTCTTTGTTCATTTCAGCTAGCTATAATTCATTACCTAGAAGACACCCATCCTACCCCCAGGCTCCTGCCCCAAGATCCGAAGAAGAGAGCCCAAGTCAGAATGATCGCCGATCACATTGTGTCCGGCATTCAGCCACTCCAGGTATTGGCTTGTCATATCCATGCAAATGAGAAAACCAGGATGGGTTTCCAGCAGTCAGTATCTCTGAAAAGCTCAGTCTCTAAGTTTTCAGAAGCCAATAGAGTGGCAGACCTTAAGACTGTGTGTTAGCAGATGAAATCCCCGCTTAGCCTCTCTGCCTGATCTGCCAATGGCAATAATACAGTATTTCCTACAAAGAAAATCCTATAGCACTCCAGGGTTCTTTCCAGAAACAGTTGAACCCATACAGTATCACTGTTGGGTCTAGGATGTTTTAGGAAGACGACAACTGAGCAACCCAAAGGACAAAGGCAAAGGGATACCCTGGCAGCTGTTACAGAAGGACAGTCCCAAGAGAGAGATACAGCAGAGTGCATGATTCGGCGAGGGTGAGGTCAGGGCTGACCCAGCAGGCTGAACCCACGCTGGGGGTTCAGACTTGGCAACTCCTCATCTCCCCTCTTCTCCACTGGATAAGGCAGTGGGCAAGATCCAGCCAGCAGCGGTCAATCTAACCTGGAGATTGCTTGTGTTCACAGAACCTGAATGTCCTGAAACAAATAGGGGAGAAAAAAACAGAATGGGCTCAGAACTGCATCGCATCTGGCTTTCAAGGTGCGTCCCACATCCAAAATGATCAGCACTTCAACTGACCCTTCAAAATGCTGCACTGCTGGGTCCTACTTTCCTCTTCAAACAGAACAGATCTCCCTAGGCTGGTATGCTGGGTCCTGCCCTGCTGGCAGAGACAGTGCTCTTCCTGCCCAGAGTCCCTTGTCCAGGACTAGTAGTTCTCCAGGGTCTCCGAGGAAGGATCCTGTCCACAGGACGCTTTCACTGCTGTGCATGGACGAGGCGAAGCCTGGGACCATCCCACAGAAGTTGATTCACCCTGAAGCATGAGGGCTGACAGCACTTCTCCTTTTCACCCATCTGCTCCCAAACTAGTGCCTTTTGCTTTAAAGTTCTATCAATCTATATTTATATGCTTTTGTAATCAGACAAAAGATATCAGCTGGGAAACTCCCACAGAATCTAGCAAGTAGCAGAGTATTTCTCTACCTCTCTAGGAGAAACAGGGTGCTTTTTTTTCCTCAAAACCCTTTCCCCCATGTGCCGGAATGGCAGGCCCATCTTCACTTCTGGACAGATGCAAACTGCCTGAACCTTTGCATTTTTCCCCTCCCCACTCACATATCTCTACATTGTCCTCTTAGTATTTCAGGTGCATTGCCTGAAGCAGCTGAAATCACCCTATGTCCCAAAAAGGTGAAGGACTCTAAAGACTCGCATAACTACACTGTTGTAAGATTTCTGTTCCTTCAAGGTTCTGTCCCAAATTGTCCTTTTTCATAGTCAGCTCAGGGTCAAAACGCCCTTGTTCATAATTCCCAGTCTATAAGGTCTTTGGTGTCCCTTTCAAATGAGTTTCCAATGCCTCACTCTGTACCACCTCTCTTGGCAGCGCTGGAGCAGATTCTGCAGCACACTGCCGGGCGCTACTGTGTGGGAGATGAAGTAAGTATTGGAGAGAGCATTGTGTAACATTGGTGAACTGAAAACCCCAATTCCTATAAAATAGGAAAGGAAATTCGTTGTGGAGACACAGCACAATCCTGTGTCTGGAGTTACATGTGGAGCCTTCACTGTAAGAAAAACAGCTGCATGGATCCTACTTAGGCCATTAGTGACTTGCAAGTAGTTGCAGAGACGTTTACTTGTCTCTGCCTGTAACCTGCTGATGGCTAGATTCTGCAGCTGTGCCTAGGACCTGGCTGCTACTAGAGGAGGTTATATATATTTCATCTTTAAGAGATCTAGAGTTCAAGTGTCCTGTCAAAGCTTGGCTCAAGAAACACAGGTTCAGTTCTTAGCTCTGCTCTGTGGAACTTTTATCCAAGTTGTATTGTATTTTTCTGCTCTGTTTGTCCAGTTTTAACAAGGACAGATTTCAGAGAGCTCACATATAAGCTGTTGTGACCTGTACCAAGCTAGAGGCCACCCAGGCCTCTTCCATTTAGTAGTCGTGTTTGGCAGGCACTTGGAACTTTCCTATAAAAGCCTGAGAAAAAAAGGAAGACTCCTGCAATATCCTGTGGTGCAGAGGCTTGGCTAGTAGGAGCTTTGTGGAACTGGAGCCCTTGGTGGGCAAAGGCTAGTTATTTGATCTTATGCTGGAGAATGATGTGTGCTCTGAAAAGTGCCCAAGGTTTTGTGACCTGGGGAGTGGGGTGGGGGCAGCTGCCTCCGTGCAGATAGGCAGCTAGCTGCATTGTCTTTGAGTCTTCTTTTCAGATTGCGAGTCCCTGAGCTTCTGTGCAAAGGCCCTATCATGTATCAGGTCTTGACATTGGCAGGAGCTGCTTGATACTCCTGCAATGCAAACAAGCAGAATTTACTCATCTTTTCCCAGCCATGCAAGCGCCCCCCTTCCTCCATCACCTCGCTCTGCAGCTTGCCAGCAGACTTGTTTGCTCAGAGGCAGTTGCCATAGAAGCACTGTGTCCTTGAGGTTGTCATGATCAGCTGGTAAATATAAATCTCCCTAAAGGCTTGATGGCTTCTTCTACTAGTGGCTGCTACGAAGTTCCTCTCCTTGTACCATTGTCATACTATTAATACTGGATTAAAGAATGAGATTGTTGTGACAACCCCTTTGTACTGGCTGATAAAATAATTTCTATCCTGCTCTCAAAGCCTGCCACCACAGTTAAGTGTGATGGGACAGACTCCGAGTTACTCTGATCCCTTTTATCTGCTACATTTGCAGGTTTCCATGGCTGATCTGTGCTTGGTGCCTCAAGTCTTCAATGCTGAAAGGTAATTAAGGCTAAGCTTGAGGTGCTCTTCCAGGGCACCTGCTCCTTGTGCTGGGCTGTCAGAGCTTACCTTCTGCCCGTTAGGAAAGCATCTCTCCTGCTGCCCTATCAAGTTATGGATTCCTTTCTGCATGAATTTTCCAATGTCATAAATACTGTCTCTTTTGGAAGCTCTTGGAAATAAGGAGTTGTGCTGTCTTCTCAGAGGCCCCTGGGGGAAACCTGATCTATGTCCTTAGGAAAGCTAAGGTTGCCTGCACTCCATATCTGCTTGCCCTATAGTTACTGCACACAGGGGGAAAAAGATTAATCTGACTATATTTGCTGAAAGCCTTAAACCAGTGGCTTTATGATTCCCAGGAAAAGCATAGTGCCTTCTTACCTTGTGCTGCACACTATGTAAAAGCCTAGTGAAGATGGAAGAACTAACTAATCTGTCCTGTAGCATGTTTATGAACCTACAAGGATGAACCTTTTCTCTTACTGCAAATGTACCCCAGCCTGTGAGATTCTCCCATACTGGGCAGGCACAGCACACTTTCTGCTCACTGCTGCACTGGCTGTCTGACCCAGAGCACCTCACAAATTCTTTTCCTTTTGCAGATTCAAAGTGGACATGGGTCCATATCCCACAATAACCAGAATAAACAAAGCTCTCCTGGAGTTAGAGGCGTTCAAAGTAAGCCACCCATCCCGGCAGCCAGATACTCCTGCAGAGCTGCGAGCTTGAAGCTCTACTCATTAAATCAAGTAAGCTGGAATGTCAAAGAAGACAACAGCTACAGCTGGCTTAGAACATTAGTGCCAGCAAGAAGCCCTAGTACTACTGCCTCACTTTCATCTGTGTGGGAAGGAGGACAGAGGACCTGGAAGTCACCTGGATGACTTACAGGAGTTCTGCCTGTGCTGGAAAGCTTGCAGATACTTCTGACTCTTGTTTTTTTCTATCATCTGATGTATCTCCATGAAGCAGATTAAAGCAGAAGCATCCATAATTACCAGAAGTCCTCTTTGTATGGCTTTGGGTTGGGGAATGTGGCCACAAACAACTGTGAAGCATTGAGCCAATTCCAGACGCCCCCAGGGGCTGGTTCTTCCTGACATCTACAGAAAGAGCATCAGGGAACCAGTGTACACAGTGTGCTACTAACCTAGCAGGCCTGCTTGTCCTTGCAGCTGCCTCAGAACTATGGCATAATCATCAGTGCCATGGATATAAAAAGAGCTAGTCTCTGGCAGAAAACAGCTTAATCCCAACCCTTGTTGGGTCCCACGGCTCTTGGAAGAGCCAACAGTCAGCAATTCTGCCATCCCTTGTAATGACAGAATTACCACCTGGGAGAGCTGATTTGTACCTCTTCCTTACGGCTAGCAGCAGTCTTGGGGAATTTGTAATAAAGAGCTGTCTAGAGCAAAGGTAGGTGATTGTGCCATAGCGAGCAAGACACAACCAGCACATTCCCATACGCTGAAAATGATGGCATTCTCTTCCCATCCTCACACACCGCTCTCAGTGTTTTCCTAGTCCTCAGCTGCAGACTGTCGCCCAAGGGAATCCCATCCCAGACTCCCTCCAAACCAGAATCATACCTGTACTTTCACTGTGAGGACCTTCTAAATGGCAGGAGTAAATCCCATTCCACTCATCCCAAATAAAACCAAACACCTGAGTCACCTTCAGAGCTGAAAGCACCCTGGGAATTCCAGCCCACAAACCTGCAGGGCAAGAAGGGAAACCCAGAAGCCTATGACTGTGTTCCTGTGCAGGCTTAGCTCAGATCCCACTGAACATTTTGGCACCCAAGCCCAGGTACCAAGCCAGGAATATGGAGGGAATTTCTGCCAGTCTGATGCTGTACATCAGCTGCCCTAAGACGGCAATACCCACGGCCTTCAGAAGGACTTTACAAACCCGTGATCTCTTGTGACAAGGTAGCATTCACCTACATACAGATACTTGGACTGCTGCATTGCTTGGACTCATTTATTGCCATCCATAGCCGTATTCAGGCTGGTTAAGAGCCCTTGCTGTTCCAGTTTAATTCTGAGTATTGTACATTACCCTAGGTCCAGCTGGATCTTGACTGTGCTGTTGTAAAAGGTCCCGGCACAGTTGGAGCCCCCAAAGACCAACACCGTGTGCAGGTTATGCTCCTCTTTGTTCTCCTGGTCCGCATCCTGGTGGGCAAGAGTCAGGTCAAGCAATGTGTGGCCAGCTCGGGGCACAGAGCAGAGGTCGTGGTGGATCACTGTGCTCCATGAAAGAGTATCTGAAGTAGAAAGGAGCTATCAATACTGACACATCCATTCCTAGTGCAAGAGTTGAAACAAACGGACCAGACTAGGTGTTCAGAAACACCGCTGCAGCCCCATAGTCACCTTCAGCTATGGAAACAGGGAGGGAGAGTCACTCACCTAGGTGGAAGACAAAGGCATCCTGCAGGGCTCCCTTGGCATTGCAGCCTCCACTGATCAGAACCTTCTGGTCCGACACAGCTAGAGCTGCGTGAAAACTGTGACCAAAGCAAAGCCAAAAGGTGACTGCAGCAAAACCTGCTGGGGTTGCTCAGTCAGCAATGGGCAGAATCAGCAGGAGGCTGGGGGCTTAGGCTGCAGAATGGAAGTTAACTTCTGCTTCTCTTCTGCCCTGACTTGCTGAATTACCCTGAAAGAGCTGTTTGTTTCCCTCCACAAGTCAGGCCATAAGCAAGCCTGAAAAGCACCTCATTATCTCAGGAGCTATACTCTGTGGAGTGAGACAGCAGGCTAGCTGGTCTTTGGTCTGATTTAGGTCATTGCTCTAATGGGCAATAGCATCCGGAAGTTAACTTCTGCTTCTCTTCTGCCCTGACTTGCTGAATTACCCTGAAAGAGCTGTTTGTTTCCCTCCACAAGTCAGGCCATAAGCAAGCCTGAAAAGCACCTCATTATCTCAGGAGCTATACTCTGTGGAGTGAGACAGCAGGCTAGCTGGTCTTTGGTCTGATTTAGGTCATTGCTCTAATGGGCAATAGCATCCCTTTAGGAACAGCATAGACCTGGTACAAGAGTTTCTTCCTCTCTGTGTCTCTGTTATACTCCAGGTACTACAGAGACCAAAAAGCATGCGTTACAGTTCACTAGCACAAGGCAGAAAACTTCCTTCAGCCTGAAAGGCAGATTCCTGGGGAGGCTACAGGGTCTGTAGCCCCCCACTGCCCACCCTACAGGCACCAGCTAGGACAGCACAGGAATTTCTGGTCCCACAGCAGAGGGGCCATCCACTGCATTTTGGCCAGTGGGACAGAGATGCAACTGGGTCTGATCACAAGAAGTTTAAACCTGGCTTCAAAGAAAAAGGGCAGAGGAAGAAGATAGCTCCTGGGTCTGCAATAGGATCTTACCAACGTGCAGAAGGCTGTCCTGCGAGGAGGGGCACTGGTGTGTACTCCATGAAACCTGACAGCCAGGGGAAAGGCAGATGAAATGTCCAAAAAGCTCAGCCTCATAACTAGACAAAAACTGCCACACTCTGCCACATCAGTAACCTGTATTCTCTGCCATCCAGCTTTTTCCAAAAAAGCAGGCTCTTGTTTTTCCCCATTCCCTCCCCTCTTACCCCAGAAAGGTTTTTTTTTACCCCATAGTTTTCCATCTCCGTTGCCTAGTCGGGAGTTTTTATAACATAAATGCTACCTTCCCATTGAGCATGCCTCATCCCCCAGTCCCTGCCTTAGAATGGACCTTCCCAAGGCATCCACCTGGTACAGCCTTTCTTACCCAGATCCAGGATATGCATGTCACTGAGGTAGAAAGATGTCCTCCGACCGCCAAAAATCAGCAGCTTGTTCTTCAGTAGAGTAGCTGAATGCCTGGACAAAGAAGCAAGTGAACAAAGTATCTTCAGCAACTTCCCAAACCTGACGTTTCAGCCTTGGCTTCTGCTATTGGGCTGCCATAGCTTCAGTCTACACCCACCTCTGCCCCCAGCCACTGCAGCCCAAGAACAGAATCCCATCAGGATTCATGACAGGAGGTACTGAGAGTCACATTGCTCAAACACAGCCCTATCTTAAGGAGCAAATGGTGGAGAACAATCACCCAATATTTAGCAAATTACACTGGGGTGGGAGCAAAGGTGAGCAGACATTTCCTTCTCCATTTTGGAGGGCTGGAATAAGTGCACACCCACCCAAGCCTAGGCAGAGGCTTCTCCCCTTCTGAGATGGGCTGGTACCAAATTTCATGCTCTGGATTAAAGACATACAGCACATTGCTGCAGGGTCCAACTGCCAGTGATGCCTTTTTGGGCAAAGTTCCTCCAAAAACAAAGAGCTCCTTGCGGTAGATAGTTGCACTGTGGTAGGTGAGCTCTGGCATCCTCCCTTTAGCCTGGAAAAGGTTCAACGTACATTTGTTACGAGAAGTGCATTATTTGGTGCATGACCCATAGGAAAGGGTCCCCCATCATACAGCAAATTCAACAAGTCTCAATTTTCACATTACTGGCTCCCTGTCCAGATCTTTGCTACACAGGCTGACAGTGCATCCTTTGTGCACTCTGCACCACCAGAATGCTCTGATGAGAGAAAGAAGTCAACCTCCTACCCCAGTTTCATCAGAAGATGACAGAGAACAGAAAGATATCATCCAGGCTTATCCTGTAAGAGCCATCTTGTGACTTAGCCAGGAAAGAGACAGACAGTCCCTTGCTGACAGGGCCCTCTGCAAGGGCATGACAGGCAACTCTCTCTTTAAGAGCTCAGAGATCTGCTGTGCTCACAGCAGTCCCTGATTTGAGAAGACCAGCTCTTCACCCCAGCATTCAGTGCAGCTCTCAACAGCACCATACAAAACATAGGGCCATTTCCCTCTGCCGCTTGTACAGTACCTCCCACCCATGACCTTGGTCAGACACAGCACTCTGCAGCAACCATTTTTTCACCTTGCTTCATTCATTGTAGGCACAGCCTCTGGTTTCTGCCAAGCTTGTGGCCTTTCAACATAGCCATCTCACATCTGTCACTCCCAACTAAGCAGCTCAGTGGACCTGCAGCAACAGTGACCCAAGACTACTGGAGTAAGGATATGGTCACATCAATTGCCACATTCAGGCAAGACCTGCCACCCCCCCTATGCTTTTGTCTTGGAAGAGCTGCAGTACTTACAGCCACAAGGAGCCATTTCCAGGTGACTGTGTCCAGAATGTAGATGCTGCTGTAGTCTTTGTCCTCCCTTATGCCCCCAAAGATGTAGATACGCTTGGTGTCTGGGTCATAGGTAGCTGTGTGACCATGCAAGCACAATGACATGGTGTTTTGTAGCTGGAAACCCACTGGAAGCCAGCAATCACTTTCTGTGGGAGCAACACCAGACAGATGGTGTGGGAGTTCAAAGATGCCCTTGATTTCTCCAGATTTAAAGAACATGTCACAAAAGCTTTACTCAAGACCTTGCTCCCCTCATCTCCTCCTCTCCTTTGATTCAGGGTTAGAGGGGACCCATGCAGAAATGTTTCTGTGCAAGGAATGAAGAGGAACACCAACTAGGTGGGAAATAGTAAAGTGAAAGAGAGATCAGTGAGGTGCAGAAAGCTGCAAGGCACTGGAATTTTATCTCACACTTCTCCACAAGTCATCGCACACAGACCGCAAACTGCACCATTGCTTTTACCCCTTAAAACTCACACAACTCTTTCCAGAACTTACACCTTAGCTCCTGGAGGGCTCTCATATACAATCCCACTGCTTCTCATGGCACCCTACACTGTCAGCTCAGCCTGGTGACCATGCTAGGAGGCATGACACCTTTGCTCTCCCCTCCCTATGCACAGACCCCTGAGTACCCCCTCCCATCTGCGT